TCCTGTTTGTGCACACAACTGAGCTGGCGGCCCAAAAAGTTCGAATACCTGCGATCACGCTATAGCTTGGTTTTGTCTTTGAGGAGGGCCTCGGGGTCTATCCTCGACCCGAGTTTGGTGGGGTCCGGCCTCGGCCTCGGCGAGATATAGCCGGTCGAAATTTCAACTTTGGGGGGCGCTATCTCCGGCGCCCGGGGGGCTATCGACTCGGGGGAGGCGGCGTCGGATAGGGGGCCTCGGGGTCTATCCTCGACCCGAGTTTGGCGGGGTTCGGCCTTGGCCTCGGCGAGATATAGCCGGTCGAAATTTTCAAATTTGGGGGGCGCTATCCCCGGCCCCCGGAAGGCTATCGACTCGGGGGAGGCGTCGTCGGATAGGGGGCCTCGGGGTCTATCTTCGACCCGAGTTTCAAGTTCCTAGGCCTCGGCGTTCCCGAGCAGGCGCGGGTCAAACTTCCACCCACCTCCTCGCCGGTGGCCTTCCCCGGGATAGAGCACCTCTCCCGGGCAAGGCTCCGATGTCGCCCGCGGCTGCGGTGCGGTTCCGGATAGGAGGAGGCGATCGCGCCTGCTGTCGGGGTTGGAGATAAGTGATGGAACGGTGGCTCCGGGGGCTCTTCTCAGGCACGTCCCGCCTACCCCGCCCTCACCCCGGTGGGCATGGGAGTAAGATGGCGGCCCCTATTCTGGTTCTCCGTAACCATGAAAGCTGAGCTCCAGGGGCTTTTTCGAGCTACTCAGGGCCCACGCGGCCTCACTCTGGCGGGCATGGGAGTAAGATGGGGCCCCCTACTCTGGTTCTCCGTAACCATGAAAGCTGAGCTCCAGGGGCCGGTACGGCCGAAGCGAGGCCCAAGTGGCCTCACTCCTGCGGGCATGGGAGAAAGATGGCGCCCCCTACTCTGGTTCTCCGTAACCATGAAAGCTGAGCCCCAGGGGCTTTTTCGAGCGACCCAGGGCCCAGATGGCCTCACTCTGCCGGGCATGGGAGTAAGACGGCGCCCCCTACTATGGTTCTCCGTAACCATGAAAGCTGAGCCCCAGGGGCTTTTTCGAGCGAAGCGAGGCCCAAGTGGCCTCACTCCTGCGGGCATGGGAGAAAGATGGCGCCCCCTACTCTGGTTCTCCGTAACCATGAAAGCTGAGCCCCAGGGGCTTTTTCGAGGCCCACGCGGCCTCACTCTGGCGGGCATGGGAGTAAGATGGTTTCCCCTACTTTGGTTCTCCGTAACCATGAAAGCGGAGCTCCAGGGGCTTTTTCGAGCGACGCAGGGCCCACGCGGCCTCACTCTGGCGGGCATGGGAGTAAGATGACGCCCCCTTCTCTGGTTCTCCGTAACCATGAAAGCTGAGCTCCAGGGGCTTTTTCGAGCGAAGCAGGGCCCACGCGGCCTCACTCTGGCGGGCATGGGAGTAAGATGATGCACCCTACTCTGGTTCTCCATAACCATGAAAGCTGAGCTCCAGGAGCTTTTTTCCAAGCGACGTAGGGCCCGAGTACCCGAAAACCCTGGCGGGGTTGACACTGCTTTAACACCCCCTACTCTGGTTCTCCGTAACCATGAAAGCTGAGCTCCAGGGGCTTTTTCGAGCGATGCCGGTACCGAGAACCCAACAACCTGGCGGGGGTGACGCCAGGCTGAAGCCCCTCTTGTCTGAGAATGCAAACTGAGCTCCAGGGTCTGTATGGAGAGATGCCTAGCCCACGTACCCCTCACCGTGGCCTGGGTGAGGCGAGTCGAAGACCCCCACCCCCCTTGGGTGGAGCTCCGTTCGCGGGGTGACCAGTGGCGAGTCCAGGGCAAAAACGACTAAGTGCGAAAAGGGGGGCTCGGGCCAGACTTCCACCCTCTTTGCGGTGCCGGGGCAGGCCGGGAAAGGCGCCTCGTCCCGGTGTGCGTTTGGGATTCGCCCGGGATCCCGGAGGTGTGCCCGAGAGGGGTCGGCGTGTCTGACGGCCGTTGCGAATCCGGCGAACGCGTAAAATCGGTTTTGGAGTCCACAGAAACCGAGAGGGGCGTCCTTCGCTCCTTTAAGTCCCCCTGATCGAGTGGAGCGTGTTGCGTGCCCGAGCTAGGACCCCGCCCGGCTACAGGCCACTGTGGGCGGGTGCGACCTAGGGGGCGTGGTGAGTGGAAGGTATGGTGAACAAGGCAGACACACCCACCGCGTCTGGTACAAGCGTGCATGAGACGGGCCTGCCCAGGGCCCAACCCTTCCTGGGGAGACTCAGACGGCCAGTCTATCGCAAGGGTCCGCCACCGGCGGTCGGATAGGGGCGCGAGGCGGGGGGCGGCTTTGTCCGGCCCTCGGCCGCCCTCCTCCCGTCCCCGTGAAGCACACTTTTCCCGGTTACGGCCTCGCTCAGCGGCCAGTCCCCCCGTCTCATGGTTACCCCCCCGAGCGGGAGGTCGCCGCACGTCGCCCTATGAGCGGCCGCGCCGCGCGGGGGGTCTCCCCCCCCATCGCGGAGCGAGACCCGCGTGTAGGAAACCAGCGCGCTGCGGTTCTCCGTCCCAACCCCGAGGGTTACCTGGTTGATCCTGCCAGTAACATATGCTTGTCTCAAAGATTAAGCCATGCAGGTCTAAGTACACACGGCCGGTACAGTGAAACTGCGAATGGCTCATTAAATCAGTTATGGTCCCTTTGATCGCTCCACCCGGTACTTGGATAACTGTGGCAATTCCAGAGCTAATACATGCAAACGAGCGCCGACCCTCCCTCGCGGGCGGGGACGCGTGCATTTATCAGATCCAAAACCCATCCGGGGTCGGGGATCCGTCCCCGCCCTGGTCCCTTTGGTGACTCTAGATAACCTCGGGCCGATCGCGCGCCCTTTGCGGTGGCGACGATTCTTTCAAATGTCTGCAACTTTTGATGGTACTTTAGGCGCCTACCATGGTGACCACGGGTAACGGGGAATCAGGGTTCGATTCCGGAGAGGGAGCCTGAGAAACGGCTACCACATCCAAGGAAGGCAGCAGGCGCGCAAATTACCCATTTCCGACTCGGAGAGGTAGTGACGAAAAATAACAATACAGGTCTCTTTCGAGGCCCTGTAATTGGAATGAGCGTATCCTAAACCCATGGGCGAGGACCCATTGGAGGGCAAGTCTGGTGCCAGCAGCCGCGGTAATTCCAGCTCCAATAGCGTATATTAAAGTTGCTGCAGTTAAAAGGATGGCAGGCCGCCCGGTCAAACAAGCTGCCATAGAGGGAGCGCGGGTAAACGGCAGGAGTATCTGTGACTAGTCTCTGATATGTATAGGAAAGTGATGGGCAGGGTTGTCGGTTGGGACCCAGCATACGGGAGTGACCTTGGGACTGCGGGTCTGGGTATAAAGGCGGCCCTCCAGTCCCTCGGTCGCCTCGAACCTGTTACAGCTTCCTATACGAAGCCAATCACCGGATAGACCGGTTTTTGGAAATCCGTGAGGATTCGAGCTGAGTGAGCCAGTGCGGCGATCCCAAGTGACTTGGGGGACCCCCGCGGGAGGGTGGTCTCCAAGCTGGTCTGGGTGGTATGTTTACCATGAAGGGGAGCCTCTCACGGTGTGGGAGGTCTCCGACCTGAAAACCTCGGAGACAGTTGGGTAAAGCCGACTGGTTCATAAAGCCTCCCTTATTTAGAGAGTGGTCTGGGCGTGGTCTTGGTTGGGGGGCTAGAAAACAGACAAGGCCGAGGGCCTAGGGTTAGTTGTACCCTACTGATGTACCGTCATTGCAATAGTAATCCTGCTCAGTACGAGAGGAACCGCAGGTTCAGACATTTGGTGCGTGTGCTTGGCTGAGGAGCCACTGGTGCGAAGCTACCATCTGTGGGATTATGACTGAACGCCTCTAAGTCAGAATCCCGCCCTAAACGTAACGATACCGCAGCGCCGCGGGACTTTTATTGGCCTGGGATAGCCGGTCGACCCCCCGGGGCAGGCCGGTGTGGAGAGCCGTTTGGACTGGACCGGGGTGCGGCCGAACGAGTGCTGCCCCTCTCTGGAGATGCACTGCAAGTTTGTGGAGAACCCGGTGCTAAATGACTCGTAGACGACCTGATTCTGGGTCAGGGTTTCGTGCGTGGCAGAGCAGCTCACTCGCTGCGATCCATTGAAAGTCATCCCTCGATCCAAGTTTTTGTCGGCCGAGGAGGAGGCCCAGCCGGGCGGCCTCGGTTCGACCCCCCCGCCGGTGTCCCGGGGGTACCAGTGGCCGGGGCGGGCGGGCGGACGACCGGCCCAAAACCTAAGTCGATGGGGGGTGACCAGTGGCGGGGAAAGCACCGGGGCCCTCTCCGGAGAGGCGGCCCCCCCAGCAAGGTGAGAGTCGAAGGAGGGTAGGGCCTTGGCGGCGCCAGACTCCCCTCTCCCGGAAGTCCGAGGGCGAGGCGGCCAGAACCTAAGTCGATGAGGGGTGACCAGTGGTAAATCCCCGGTGGGGTGACCAGTGGCTTGGTTCTCCAGAGGGGGCGGTTGGCCGGGTCGGTAACCCGGGCTTAAGTGTGGGATGCCCGGGTTCGGCTGGTGCACGGGTGGGGTTCCTGCTCCGGAGGTCGGGGGGCGCCGGTGGAGGAGAGGCGGCCGGGGAGGAGCGAGGGCGAGTCGGGCAGAGCAGGTTATGCAGGGTCCCCCCCTCAGGCCGACGTGGTGGTTCCCTAGGGCGGGTAGAGGGTGGATGCTCGGTCCCCCCGTCAGGCCGACGTGATGGTTCTCCAGGGCGGGTGGGGGGGGCCCATTCGGACCCTGGAAGTCCGAGGCGAGGCGGCCAGAACCTAAGTCGATGAGGGGTGACCAGTGGTAAATCCCCGGCGGGGTGACCAGTGGCTTGGTTCTCCGGAGGGGGCGGTTGGCCGGGTCAGTAACCCGGGCTTAAGTGTGGGATGCCCGGGTTCGGCTGGCGAACAGGTTGGGGTGGTTCTCCGGAGGTCCAGGCAGTTCCCGGAGAAGAGCGTCCCAGGGAGGAGGTAGGGTGAGGCGGTTTGTGCAGGGTTATCGACGGCCCTTACCCGGCCGGCCACAGAGACTGAGCTCCAGGGGCTTCTTCCAGCGATGCCGGGCCCACGTCGCCTCGCCGTGGCGGGTGCGAGAGTGAGATGAGGCCCCCTGCCCTGTCTCTCCGTGACGATGTAAGCTGAGCTCCAGGGGCCTTTTTGAGTGGTGCCAGGCCCACGTCGGAAACACCCCGGCGGTCGTGAGAAGAAGGGAAGTGGAGGTTTGGGTCGGCCGTGACTCGGGGTCCGAGGCGTGCAGAGCCGGCAATGGCAACCATAAGTTAACATATTCCATGGTGTGCCATAGCCAAGCCACA